GCGTCGGCGAAGCCGCATAGCCACGAGAGCAGTGGTAGGACGTCCTTGCTGAAGTGTGAATGTTTGAACGACTCGCCGCTCGAAAAAGACAAGACGTGGATGAGACGTCCGACGTCGGAGAGAGGTTGGAGGCTCATCTTCTCGAGGCCGAGTGGGCAGCAGCTACCGCATTGATCCTTCTTTAAGAAATCGTCGGTGAAGATTGGCGTGGTGCCGGCAGGTAGAACCTGGGTTCCGCGGCACGCCGCGGGTGACCATGACGAGCGAGCTGAGCTTTTAGGGGAGCGTCGTTTCCTGGGGCGGTGATCTGCCGACGACACCCGCGCACCAGTACGACCACGGGGATTGGGGTGCACCCGCGCTGCCGCTGCCAGCTGCCAAACTGAGACTCGCAGTTTAACGCTGTCTTCGCCTACGAAGGACGCTTGAGGTGTTCACCAAAACGCTGAGTGCGCAGGTCTTGCTTGAGCTCAAGACGTAGACGCGCCTCGTGGTTGGTTCAGTCGAGCCATGTAGCGAGCGCCGCTAAATAATCAACCATCGTGTACGCCGTGAACTCGGGCGGTACACTAATGGACCACCATTTGTCCAGTCGGTGGATTCCTGCTTCACACGCAGGAGGTGCTGTATTGTCCCTTTCTTCTCTTTCCCTTTGGCGTTGGCATCATAGACATTGAGCCGGTTCTTGAGAATCATGCTTGACGGCATGTCATCGTCCTACCCTCCACTTGTGTGAAGATGCACGCAGATCGAGAAGCATTTGCCTCGATCACGTCCGAAGACGCCTTGACAGTCCGAGTGGCGAGTAGCTTGGCCTCGCCCGGAAGCGCGCACAGGCCCAGTTGCGGTTGATTACGCCGAGACGACAGAGTCGCTGGTGCCGGCGATGTTGTCAAACCGAGCGGCTGTAGTTGTATGATTTGTCTAAGGTGGGACGCACGAGTACCCATCTTGGCAGCTTCACAGCTGCAAGTCCACCCTCAAAGCCTCCCAACGCGCCGCCGGTCGGCGTTGGTGTGAGACATCGCGACCGCGCGAATACGCAGCCGCCCGTCAACACCGGTGCCCCATTTGTACCTTACAGAGCTCTGGCACCTGAGCTTCGACAATTTGCGCGGGCTTGTATTGGGACTCGCGGTCATCAAAAGAGGCGCAGCCGTAGCGTCTGACGGAATTGGCGAGTGTGCTTGGTCGGCGTGGCTTTGACTGCCGCCTTGACCGCGACCCTCGATGGCCTGTCGTATTGCCGCCGCCTTGTGGCTTGTCGTGCTGGCCGTCAGCTGGGTCGCGGGTCTGCGCCCAGAATTGTGACGGCTGCCGTCGCAAGGGGGAAAGAGGAAACAAAAACCGCGAGCGTCTTATGAGCTGCGTGCGGTACTGATGACGTCGCATTGTTGGTAAAAATTGTCCGCGTCGTCGAGCAGATTAATCGCCAGTACCCTTGGTATGAGTGGGTAGAATCCTGAGCGCGCTCTTGGGCTGCTGCTCGTGTATGCTGGTATTACCCGAAACTTTCTCGCGTTGCAATCTTGCATGCGTGAAGCCAGCCAAATGCGCGCTGCCTTTCCATCGACAGGGACCCACGACCATTCAGGCTACATACCTCGATGAAATGTGCGTCCTTGATCCCGACATTCCATTCGCAAAGGTTGCTCAGCATCCGCGACAGCAGTGATGGATCCTTCACCATTCGCGAAGGATAGCTATCAGCGGTAAAAGATTTCAACACTTTTACGCTCATAGCGTAGCGTGTGGATCGGGTCCTACGGCAAAGACGGCACTGTGTCGACTTGGTCATAATGGCAGCGCGCCTGGACAAGGTTGTAGCACAGCTTGCCACGGGCGACACGATATCTCAACAAGTTCCTTGCGGGGTAGGCTGGTAAAACTACAGTAGCCAGTATGGCGCAAGTACAGCATGGCCGCTTTGACGGCTTGG